TTATTAACTAAATCAGGTATTTGTATTTGTTTATTGTATTTCAAACAATTTTCTATTCATCTCTTCTGTTGGAGAATCCAATGTAGGATATTAAGACACTAATATTTACTGTTTTCTTTACACACCATTCTTTAATCTAGAAAGCATTATTCTGGGTATATTTTTACTGTCCAGACTTGTTTCTGTTTAGTTTTGTCTTTTGACATAGATTTGTTCTTTAGCCATGACTGGCCTGAAACACACTAGATAGTCTGTATTGGCCATGAACATGTGGCTGTCCTCCTGTGTCAGTCTTGAAGTGCTGGGACTGTGGACATGAACCACCACACCCAGCTTGTGTTTAAAATATCCACCTTTTGTTTGGTCTATTTTCACCTGTGCAGATTGAGATATGACAGCTGTCATGTTTCCTTCAGGGTGTGTCATAAAATATGTTTAATTTCTGCTGGCATAACTCTGATTGTTTGTACAACTGATACTCTATGAAGATACTCTATTTTCTCCTCAGATCTCCATATAGGAGATAGATTGGCAAAGACTCTCTACATTCAAGGAAGAGGAGGTAAAATCCACTCCTGAACAAGTAGAAATGCCTAGGAAATCCTGGATATTCGCTCACCCCAGGTATTTACAATACCACTTGGGAGTCACTTTGAAACTACAAATACTCTCTTTGCTCTAAAGTGTCTCCTACCATCACACCGATCACAGAATTATCACTTGACCTTCTAATTATCAACTGAGTTTCTTGCTTATATTTAATGGAGTAGTTATTGATCCCTTCTATTTACTTGTTTGCTTATTTATATCAGTTAAGTTTCACCTACATTCATATCACTTTTTGTTACTTTCCAACCAGGGAAATTTGGTTTTTTAGTTTCATGTTGGTATATTGGCATTGCTTTGCTGGTTTTCTGCGTAGACTGGAAATGTTCCTAGACTGTCTCTGGTGTATTTTCAAATACTCTATGCTGTTTTATTGTCCTTTCTTACTTCTTGACATTACAAGATGTTCTGGCATTTTTTCATAGTACTTGTTGATGTATTCAACTGGGTTATTTCCCAGTGTCCTGGATGGCCTTCTGAGAACCATGAGATTTAGAAACCCTGTGCTTGTTGAGCTCATTTTTTCTAGAGCATCATTGCCTCTATTTCGTCTCAGAGATAATACATGTCTATATCCTCACTTGTGCTCCCACATGGGGCAATATCTATTACTGTATCCATTTGCAAATGTATTAAAGCCAATATCTCTGGCTCTTTTCCAACACTGCAGAGTGCCCAGTAGCCTCTCCTTGGTGGCTTGTAACTTGTTCTCTGATAATATAAACCTGGTTCCTTTATCTTCAGCACATGTACTTACTAGCTAAGCTCTACAATGCATACAGTTTGTACCTTGCTAAATATTACACCGTGGGAAACAGACTTACCAGGAGAGCACAGTATACAGACATAGTTCTTTTTTTTTTGTATTTAGCCATATACTACATTGACATAGTCTTTTCCAGTCATTTACTCAAATACTTTCTTCCTCATTTCTTTGTTGAAATTCTCTCATTTTTGTGCTTTGTGCTACAAATATGTTGTTTCTTTATAGAATATACTTAATCCTGGATTTTATCCAAATTCTTATTGCTACACTTTGAAGTTAATGTACATTGAAAGTGTATCTTTGTGCTAAACATTTACCTATTTCTGATGCAATCATTGTCCCATTTATAATATCCACATTCACTAAAAATCCTTGTTTGAAGTCAGCATCTCATCCTGACATATCCTTGGCAATCATTTGTATGGGTGCATTGTTATATTCTTGAATTTCTCCACAATCTCATAGAAGTAAAACATTTGTGCTGTATATCTTTGTAATGAGTTTGGTTCTCTCAGTAAAATGCATTAAAGTTTCATCAAAGCTGTTGAGAAATCAATAATTCATTACTTTTGATTGGATATTTATGGCTTAAGAGCAGAAAGGAGCCTATGTGGAAGTGGAATAGTATACAGATTTTGGGGGGAGATTGTTGAAGAAGATAGAAGAGAAGAATCAACACAGTTTTTTTAAACAAGTGCCATAGTGAAACTCAATATTATGTGCACATTTATTTTTAATTAAAAATTATCCACTAAATCCATGTTCCACGGTGTTTATCAATAGAATACATATATGGTTACTAGTTTTGATACACAAGAATGAAATTGACACCAGTTTTCTGTAAACATATTCCCGTGTGTAATTCACTTAGAAAAATATTTGGGATGCCCAGTCTTGCATTAAGACACCCTATTCGTTTCTAAAAACCTGACAAATATGTCCAGTAATGTCTGAAATATTTGGAATTCTTATCAACTGACAAAATAAGAGGCTTTCTAGAATTCTAATACTTTTGTGAACTGGGTTTAATGTGCTTCTAATTGTTACTTTGTTTTTTACACTCTAGCAGGTGTATGGTGGTTTGCCTTTGTAGATGCAATGATGAAAGATATTAAACAAAGTTTTCATGTACTTATTTATTGTCTTTGTGTTTTCTTTACAGAAGTATCTGTTCAGAACTTTTGTGTATTTTTTAAAAATTTAGTGTGATTTTACCATTAATACCGAGACATAAACTTTCAATATATTCTGGATCAAACCCCTCTTCAGATTTAAGACTCTAAAGTATTGAAAATATTTTCTCTCCCTAAGAGTATCTGTCAAAAATAAAAATTTTACAACTGGTAACATAAAAAAATGACCAAATTATTTTTAATGTGTTATATATAAAAAAAACCTCTTTATAAAATTAAAGATCACCAAAGTACTTTTCTCTAGATACTTTTTTTTGTTTTTACTTTTTGAATGTCAATTTACAGTTAAATTTGAGTTGATGTTTGTCTAAAGCATGAGCTATGCCACAGGTAACATATGAAAGACCAAGCATTTAAGTGTCCTAGGTTCCAATATTATTTGTTTCCCAATGGGAATGACTTCAAATCTCTGACACCAAAGGCTTTGCTGGTTTTCTAGGGTGTGAGCATGTTGATTAACTAGTATGGTTGTGATGAGAGCTGCCGTGAGAGTAGGTGACAAGTAGTATTTCACAAGTCAATCCACCAGACATCTAACTCCCTGTTGGGGAACCCCAGAAGACAAAGCCATGGGATTGCTAACTGTAAGTAACCAATTGCTCCTGTCTGTAGTTTCTTTCATGTGTCACTTCATTTCCTCACTAAGAACTATATTTCTTCCTTAAGAACAGTTTCTGGAATTTTCCCCACTGCTTGTGGGTCTATCTCTTGTAAATATTTCATCTAATGGTCATACATATTCTGTGAATGATCAGGAAGATGATTTCTGCTTAATTTGTATAACTCTGATAAATAGAATTAATACCAAGATATATTTCATTACTCAGACTGACATAGGATTCTCAGTCTCAAAGAGAGCCTTTTACACAGTGAATTTTAGACTCCAGAATAAATTCAAAGCAATATACCTCTGGAGACAAATATCCGGTTGCTCCTAGAGACAAATACATGAGGTAATTTTTCCAGGTGTTTTGCCGATTCAAGGTCAAAGATTGAAGCAACTTTAGTGGACCTAATTCACTGCAGCAATATATTTTCTGTACATACTCTCTACCACTCAAGGTCCTGTTCATTCCTTGTTATTGTTAAGTCTTTCATTCCAATGTTATTTTCTGTCTTGGAACCCTAATCATTTAGACTATGTGCATGGATAAGTATTACCATTGGTCATCATGACATCCCTAACCTAAAAGAAACTATGTGACTTATCTTGTCTTATGAGAATGGGTCTAGCCCTGAAAATGTAATTTATAATTGTGCAGATAAAAAAGTTTCTAAAGTCCCACTACTCTGAAGTCTTCTACTTACTACCCTGGAGCAGATCTGGGAGCTGGCTTCTGTGGACTGTGTTATACTTAATAGTGCTGGTCCAGTCACCCGTATCTCTACTTACTAGTCACTTACTTGAGCAGTTCCTGAGATGAATATGTTATAAGACCCAGAAGAGTTTCACATTTCTCTATTTCTTCTATAATACACGTTGTGGTTTGAATGTGAGATGCTCCCCAGGTTTATTAATTTCAATATTTGTTCCCATGCATTTGAAAAAGCAATGGAAACCTTAGGAGGTACCACCTTGCTGGAGAAAATGAAGCAGGTCACCAGCAGGTGGGTCTTGAATCACTGTATGCTTCTCAGCTAGATACACTTTGACCAGCCAGCCTCTCACCCTGGTTGACATCCATTACCTGGATATACCAATGTCTTCTCTGCCATGGTGCTCAAGTCAGAATACACTCTCCTTCCTCCTGAAACTGCTCCTTGTCAGTACTGGACCACAGCATAGAAAGATAAGGATACAATGTCAATTTTGCTTCTGCTGTCAAGTACACATACATCAGATTAGTGATTTTAAGAATCCTTTAGCATGTCATGTTCTGCTTACCTCTCAAATCCCTTTGTTCCGACCTGTTTTTCCATGAAATTAATATAGTTACTTCAGATTAGTTTTATAACTGATAAATTGATAATAATTGATTTATAAGAACATAAAAATTGCATCAGTTAATGAGGTGTCATGAGATATTTTATATGTATGCACTTTATAATATTTAAATCAGGTTGGCCATAATTGTATCTTCAAATACTGATAATTTCTCTCCTTTTGTGATGAAAACATTTAAAATCTTAACTTAGAGCAGTCTGCAATTTATCAACTATTGATCATGTCTCCCCCACTTCTCTTCCTGCCCTGCTCATTATTCTACAAGAGTAACCACCCAGAGAAAATGTTAAAGGACTTCATGAAAAAAAAAATGGCTAGATCAAATATCAAAGTACAAGAGGACAGATGAAGGAATTCTTTCCGTGGAGTTCAGCAACTGAAAAGAAGTTAATGTTTATGTGAGAGCAGCACTGAAGCCCATTAAGGAAAAAAAAACCTATTTCATTCTGGTCAGAGGTCAGCCTGTGCAATCTTTGGCCTTAGTGGAAACCTGACGTTTCAGTGAAGCGGGTCAGTACCTGGCCTGGATGTCCCTCAGGACACCAGGTTTACCTCAAGCCACTGAGTACACGAAAGAACGCCTAGCTCTGTAATGATGTAACACACCTTCCATTCCGGCGTTCTTCTCCCTCAGAGAATGCAGCTTTCCGAGACTGACAGCTGCACTGAATTACTCAAATGTACGTGAGTGAATTTTCAGAAAAGCCTGACCTTTCCTTGCCTTCCTTCCATCTCATTTCAAAGCATGCTTTTCCTAAGACTTTGGGCTTCCTCACTTTTTCTCTGAAGTACACCCTCACCGACTCTGTCTGCTGCAGTATGGCTGACCTCCTTCCTGCGTCATTGTAGCAACGTGGTTTGAACCCTCCTCTTCTTCATTCTCCTCTTCTGGGCAGCTTCCCAGGTTTACAGCTTGCATGCCCTGGCAGTTTTTCTTTTAAACTCTAGCTAAATTGTCTTCCGGTTTCCCTTTGGGTCCATTTTTAAGTTATGAATAGGGCAAAGGACCTGGGGGTGTGCGCAGAGGGGGGGCTTTCTTGATTTCCCCAGTAACATGGCAGCTCTGTCAGGACTTCTCTAAACTTCCAGCATTACTATCTTAGCAAAATTATAAAGCGAGACCCATAGGACTCCACTCTGTAACAATGGCAAACTGAAGTCTTACAGGCTTACTAAACAAGGTGACAGTTTGTAGAGTAAATTTTGTCTAGGAAAGATAACTAAAACCCCATATAGAGTTTTCCACAAAAAACTTGATAGATCATTGGTATGTATAATGAATTTTAAAAAATTAAAATAAAAACTCCTGATAAATCAGTAAGATCTCACTGACACTTTAGTCTCTGCAGGTCTGTCTCTTTGGTAGTTGTCGCTCTTACGCCCACATAATCTGGGTAGGCCCCTTCCACTGTTGCCCTCCGCCTCAAAACCACCATGTGCCTTCCTAGCTCCAAGGTTCCTGCTTTGTCAGCCAAATTCTCAGGTCCATGTTGACTTCATTCCTCTTTCCTTCTCCATTTCCCCTCCCTGCACCCCTGCCATCAATTGTATTGGTCATTGCCCAGCATCCTCTTCTGCTTACCAGTGAAGCAAGACAGCAGCCTGCGGATTCTAGAGCAGCTAAAGCAAAAGTAAAAATTAATTTACGTGTCTGAAATTTTAATAAGACAAGCGTAAGAACATGAACTCAATGTGACAGGCCATTAGGGGATTGTGCGGGCTTATGACAACAATTAGCGCAGTGAAAATAGTATTCTAGAAGGATTTCTGGGATTGAAGCCTGTATTAGCAGAGGTGAACCTGTGTTCAGAAGAATCTGCTAGGCAGCTGTCAGAAACCCCGTGGAAGGAAATGAGGGCAGGAACAGAAGTGATATGAGGAAGAATGCTTCTAGCTAGCGACAATGAGAAATTAAAATACCATTTTAAGAAATAGGGTTTGGAGCATGGGAGCATAAAAGCCCACAAATGATACGTTTTTCACAAGTCTTTCTACTGTGTTTTATCTTTTTCTTCTGGTGGAAGAGGAGTTATTAACTGATTTCATGGTTTCATTATATTATTGTTAATGCAGTAAATAACAATCGAAATAAAGTTTTACAGTGTTGCCTTTAGTAATTTCAGTCTTCTCTAAACACAGCAATTTTTAGCCAATTTATGGTAGCTTTGAAGACTAAACGTTTTGGTCCAAGATGTACAAAGTGAGGACATGACTGCATCAAGGTGCGGTTGAGGAGAAGGTTTTAATTGTGTGTGTGAGCTAGACCACAGCCAGAAGAATCTGATGGAGATCAGAGCAGGGAGAGAAAACAGTGGACTGAACATGGCCATGAAGTGGGTCATGAGAGAGAGAGAGAGAGAGAGAGAGAGACAGAGACAGAGACAGAAAGAGAAGAGGAGTAGGAGAAGGAGGAGGAGAAAGAGGAAGAGGAGGAGGATAAATGATGAGCAGGAGGAACAGGAGGAAGAGAAAGAAGCTCATGGCCCAGATGGTAGAGTTACATAGGAATTAGAATTAGAAGCTGGGGGGAGGGAAGCCTATGAGCTGGAGAAGTTCAGGGTTGGGCAGGTTAGAAGGGCTGAGAGAACTGACAGGTTTTCAGGAAACCCAGAGACTAGCATGTGTTTGGGTGTGCTAGCAGGCACCACAGCTATCCATTTGCCCGGAGTTTCTTTTGGACCTGACACATTAAATATGCTATTCCATTCTACTCTTGTGACTCATTAAGTTCAGTAAGAATTTGTGAGTCTGAAGGATGATGGAAGCTTGAAAAGAATAAATACAAAGACATGGCGAACCCTATCAACAGTACACACATGTTATGTGTAATAAAAAAGGCTATTGGTAAATTTGATGGTAGCTAGATATAAATATAATTATGTGAATTTTCTATTATTACTTTTAAGAGAAAATGTAAATATATTTATTGTTTCTCTTCACACCAAAGTAACTAGAACTAAAATATAATACAATAGTAGGTATTATCAAAACAATAAATGTATTAAAAAGAAACATTTTAGCTGTAAGACCTCAAAAAATTGGGATTTCCCCAGAAATCTCATGCTGGGAGAGAAAAGTGTAAGATAATGGAACCTGAATATTTTTTTTACCTTTTTTCTTCAGAAAAGTGCTTTAAACTTATAGTTTGATTGAAAAGTCAGTGTGGGTAAGACCACACCTAGACCAGAGCTGCTTAGATGTGCATATATTCTTGCCTGTTTATTTAAACTTAGATCTCACTTTAAGACCCCTGAAGGTAAACTTGAAGGATCACTGGATGTTTTTCTCTTTCCAATGTGGCCACATTAAATAATTTTTCCAATTTTGTCTTGTGATTTGTCTGCTTTAACTTGATGCTTGAAGATGGATGGACAAATCTGGGTCCTTGTGTAAAATCTATGATCCCCAAATTTGGGGATATTATCCAAATTAAGCAATTGGGTAACACAATTTAAAGAAAAGTTCTCATAGGGATAGGCTCTAAGCAAGTCCAATCTACTAGTTTTTGCCACCTATTCAGAGTGACAACATATTATGGATTCATTAAAGTATTAACAATTAGGGCAGAACTCTCATCATCCAGCTAGTTTCCCAAAGCCCACAAGTTGTCCAATATGCCCCCAGAGTGTTAGTTTATAGGGGTTATATCATATTTAAACAACAACACAGAATATTTCATTAATTTTTTATATATATATATATACACACACATCTGTATCTGTATCTATGTCTATGTAGGTATATAGTGTTTATAGTGTTTATATGTTCATGAGAATGTGCATGTATTTCAGTACATGTAAAGACAGAGGTCAACATCAGGTATCTTGTCAGTCATTCTGCACCTTATGTTTTCATAGGGCGTCTCTATGCTGAACTGATTCTTCTAGAATAACTGGTCAACACACTCCCGTGCTGAGGTTACAGAAGTGTGCCACCATTTCAGACTTTCTATGTGGGTCTGAGGGATTGAACTGAAGTTCCCTTGGCAAACTTTTTGTTAACAATCAGCTCCACAACCACAGATTATTTTTAAACAGACTAGTTCTGTTCATCTTTCTTTTTAGTACAATTTTACTTGGATGGATTCTTTAACCCTGGAAATTGAAACTACTTACTCAAAATGCGTGAGGATTTCCCTGTGTCAGTGATCATCAGATAACAGGTCTCTTTGACAGTATTTATTTGTACTTGAGATTGTCAAATATTCACTCTTACTTTTCAAAATCTGTTCATATTTATACTCGTTCTCAAAATTATTTTCAAAAATTAATGACTGTAAATAATTATAAACATTGTCCTTATGCTTCCATCTGCTGTGAAATTTTGAATTTTGTTTACTTTGGCCAGTAATCAATCTCAGGCTAGTGTGATACTATGAGTGGTTCTAGTTTACCTAGCCATGTCTCTCTCCTCCATGAAGTCAGCTTAGAGGCAGAAAATTATTATTATTTCAATTATGGTCTTTCACCTCAATGATATGTATTTCACATTCAAAGTCACTTTTTTGTCAAATAAAACTTAATTACATTTCATTCATAACAAATTATCTCCATGATAGTTTTATTAGCATCTTTCTGTATTAAAATCACAGCTTTCCATTCTCAAAATTTGGTAGGAATTATTTGTTTCTTTGATATTATTTACTATATTGCATTGATATTATTCAAGTGGATATATTTTTCAATATACAGTGTAGTATAATTTATATGTCTGAGATTAGATAAACATGTGATCATCTGCAAAATACAATGGTTGTCAATAAAAGCTCCAAAAATACTATACCTGTTTGCTGTATTCTCACTTCTTAATTTCAGGATGAATGTACCCTTTCTGTAGATTTTACAAAATCAGCCTCTGAAGCTTTACTGCACAGGTACACCTTTCCCACCACATCATTTTAAATAGGAGGTCAGAAACTGTTGAGAACTGGCCAGACACATTGTCTTACCTTTTATAAATTAGACCTAAAATAATCAGACAAAATTTTGTAACTTGACCATCAAAACTATTAACAGCCTTAACTACATTATATTTATTCTCCAAGAAGTTACCCAGCAAAGAGTACCCTTGCACTTTTTAACATTGCTACCCAAGAGTGATAACAAACTGCATAAGGAAGCATTCCACTAATACGAGAAGCTCCTGTAGCAATAGACCCCAGCTATGATGGCATCCAAGGTACAAGCTTCATTAGGAGTTTGAAATAGTCTCTTTCTAAATAATGGTTTATGAATGATACATAATTGATTTCAAATGCAGCTTGGGGAAAAAAGTGTTTATATCAGCTCACAGGTAATAGTATCCCATCATAAGGTGAAACCCCTTAGGAGCTCAAGCAGAAACTGGAGGCAGAAACTAAAGCAGAAGCCATGAAGGAACAATGCTTACTAGTTTGCTCCCATGGTCAAGTTAATCTTTGTTATACAGCCAAGTGGGAACCTAGGGATGATACTGCTTACAGTGGGCTGGGACCTCCTACTTCAATTGTCACTGAGGAAACAGTACACAGAAACACTCATGAGTGAATGTAATAGAGGTAATTCTTCAATTACAATTCCTTAGAAATAATCATTTTAAAGAAATACATTTATCCAAAATGAAATCTAAAATAATAGTATCTTAGTTACCCTTAAATTGCATATAATTGTGTTAAATAAAACAGAATGTTAAATGTGAAGCTTTTAATCACTTGGGAGGTAGAAGATGGAGGATCTCTGTATTTGAGGCCAGCCTGGTCTACTTATTGATTTCCATGACATACATAGTGATATCTTATCTAAAAAAAAAGAAGTTCAAACATAATCAACAATCATAAGTAATAGTTGGAAACACTATGTATTCTGCAGGACTTGTTTTATGTCTGGGCTTACATTTTATGGTCTTCTTTCCTATGCACACATTGAAGAGTTTTTATTATTGTCACATGTGTTTATCAGATACAAATGAATTCATTTTGATTTCTGAGATGTTTTTATTGATTGGATTCAATTTTTAAAAAATTAAATACATTCCCTGTGATAAATAATCATTTTCAAGTATGTCCATTTATTAAATTTTATTAAAACATATTACAACATATTTTGTTTGGAATCAAGTGTGTTAGAGTATTTTGTTTCAGGAAAACAAAAGGACAAAATGATCAGTTTATCAATTATGCTGTCATATTATATTCTTTGTATATTCTATGTTTTATTTCAATAATATTTCAATAAAAGCTTTTTAAAAAATATATCTCACAGCCCCTTGTAGTTTATTATACTATGTAAGTTCCCAACAATGCAAAGTACTACATGAAAATCTTTAAGTATTCTTTATTAATAATATAATTATTTTATATTAGACTTATAAAATATAAATCAATTTATTCTATATCTGAAACACAATTAATGAGAAGTGCATATACTCAAATGATATTGACTGGATTATTCCACATTTCTATATACACAAATATGGCAGTACATTTCTGGAGACTATACAATTTAATATGTCTGATGCAACTTTCATGCTCATCATTAATTGTTTCTTTTCAAATAACTTGTAATCCCATCATTTTTTTCAAAAACATTGTGCACATTTAATTTTGGTGATGAATCATTTACCATCTAATACTGTTTTTCATAACAATTTGTGTGAAAATTGTTAAAAGAAAGTCATGATGTGATTAATTTGTTATCTTTAAGAAGAATACTATAATTTATGTTCTGTAATGACTACATTATTTGCTATAACATCATCAATACTGTTGCCTGTATTTTTTTTACCAGAATATTGACCATTTTATCAATATTGAGACACTGCAACTAGTTACCTAGACATATCTGCTTGGCATCTTAATATAATGGCCAGGGACAGGGTGCTCTGTAGTCCTTCTCTCTGATTTGTATTTATTCTTATCTTCTTAAAATTGAAAAAAAAATATTTGCTACATTACCCTGAAATATTTCAGCAAATTTCTACTAAAAATATAGTATTTCTCTAGCTTATATCAACTGTATTAACGCTTTTATAAAATGTTATGTAATGCAGAGTCCATAGACAAATCTCTATGCTTGCTCTAATTATCATACGAATAAGAATCCAAACAAGACAAACATATTAAATTACATTCTGGTCTTTCAAGACTTTCCAGAAAACACCAACCAGAACTCAAACAACAAATCCAAAAAGAGCTTATGGCAATTTTTATTTATGATGAAAGCCAATCTGAAACTGTGTGAAATTTTAATTTTTCGAATTTTCATAAGAGGTTCTGGATCAACTGAAAGGTTCTGTGTAAAAGTAAATTACCACTGACATCTCATGCCACTCACAAAGATTCATTATAAATGGATGATAGCTATAAATAGAATAATAAGCAAGAACTACAATAAAAAACATGAAAAAATGCCCACATAAATAACAGACATATTACAACTCCTAAAACTAACTTAAAAGTGAATATTAATAAACTCTTGTCACATTATTATTAAGGACTTCTGTTTATTGAAATAATCCAAGAAGATGGTAAAGGAGTTCACAAAGTCAAGAATAAATATATACATTTAATAAAACCTTTAAGTATAGTTTTTTTTTTTTTAACAATGTCATTGTTACTAACATTCTCGCCTCCAGCTGCTGGGAATATTAATGGTTGACACCATGCGGGCAAGGTTCTTATTCTGATTACTGCCTTCAGCTAAAGATAGCAGCTAGCTTATGCCTCTTCATAGAGATAGCATTCTAGAGACTTGATAAGGAGATATGAGGTACTCATTATACAATAAATATATTTAGAGCCATTCGAGAGTCAGAGGGAGTAAAGATTCTGCAGGGTCTTTGCTATAACTGTGATATATTCAATCCTCTGCCACTTCTGTCCTACTTTATCCATTCTGAGGGTAGGGATACTATAATGACTTCACCCTACTTCCATTTTCCAGGGAATCACTTTTGGCATTAATAACAGTAAGGATGTCAGGAAAAAAATTAAAGAAAAAATGTTCTATTAACTATCACAATGGTTTGTGCATAAACACTCATATGTAGCTTAAATGATTTTTTTCTTGTGAGTTGTTGATCAAAGCTATGAACCTCCCAGAACTTACAGCCTGTTGTTGTTGTCCTTGGTTACTCTCAGAGGTGAAAGGTCTCTATTGCTGAAGAAAGCATGTTCAGATACATATCCCAGAGGTCCCTGAGCTGGAACTGACCTGAACACCTCCTTCATGAGGACTAGCTTCCCTGGTACCAGAAGTAGTCATGCAAACTTCTAAAGGAGGGAATCAGTCAACAGTCCTACCCAGATATTATATCTATGAAGGAGAACAATGACCAACATGGCACAATAATCCTATGAATGCAGCAGTGACATGGTAGTCAACAGTTTTTTAATTGGACTTTAAACCTGCTCAACTATAGGGAAACAATGTCTGGTACTGTAAACATACTTTTTCTTGAGCTTCTGAATTTATCTTGGAGCTTAGAGGATAACCTGCAATTGCTGCTATACCAAATCAGTATAATTCCTAGCTATATTCTAAATATGTGTCCTTATACAAGTGTAGTCCTTACCCTCATCAAAGGAGCTTCTTCTTTTTCATCAGATGGAGACAAACACACAAAAGACACAATTATTCAAATTACAGCGTGGCAAACCCACTCTTAATGAATAAATCTACAAAACAGACCCTTCACCTAAGCCGCAGAGAACATTGTAGAAAAGAGCTGGGAAAGGTTGTAAAGTCAGAGGCTCAGGAGTTTGAGGTGAGACTGTGTCTCCTAGTAATGTCAGAAGATACAGTCACAAAGTTGTGTCAACACAACTGATCAAATGTGAACTGAGCAAAGGTGACAACAGTCGGAAATTTATGGGTAAAGATACAAAGCCTCAACCATACACAAACAACTACAGGCAAGGAAAAACTGCTGAGGCGGGGAGAAAGAGTCTTCCTCAGAGAAAAGCACACCAATTGGCTTTCTGATGCAAAATAGCACTAAAACATACATAAAATAACACTATAGAGAGTGAGCAAGTCATATTAAGGAGTGTGTGTGTGTGTGTGTGTGTGTGTGTATGAACATAACAGTAAAAAAGTGGCCATGAATTTGAAAGGAAGTTATATAGGAGAGTTTGGAGGAAAAAATTAAAAAGAAGAAATGATGTATTTATATTATGATCTCAAAAATAAATGCAATTAGATTTTTTAAATTCTGTAATTTTAAAAATCTACCAATGTGGGATGTCCTACTGTATATGTGTTGTTTTTATTGGTTAATGAATACACTTGCTTTTGCCTACAGAAGGGCAGAATAGAGTATCTGACAATTCAGCAGATAGAAGTGGAAAGAAGGTTGAGTTAGGGAGATGCCATGTAGTCACCAAAAAAGAAAGACGACCTGGAACCTTACCAGTAAACCAGGAGTCTCATGGTAAAATATAAAATAATAGAAATGGGTTAATGTAGGTACCCAGGTCTTTTTCCCTTTTCTTCCTTGGCATTTCACAGGGCTGTCTGCCCTCTGGCCCCTGGAGATTCTGCACTAGCACTGGCTTGAGGGTAGCTTAGAAAGAACTTGGCTGTCTTTGTTATGGTAATTCCACCTGTAAACAAGGTTGCAGCTGCGGGGGCCCTACACGCCTCCCACGCCTGCCTCCCCCATAGCTGATTCTGCCTGAGGTGCTGGGAATGTATCAATCTATTCTACTGCTCCTGATGGGAGGGGGCCATGCCCTTTTGAACCCTCTTGCCTCCTGGTATAAATACCTGACCTGAGTTTAATAAAGGGCTTTTTTGCTCTTTGGCAAGCAAGCAGGTCTCTTGTGTTGTCTGTTTAAACCCTTAGGACAATCGTCCATTCTCGTGGCCCTGGTTCAGGAAAGCGCACTCCTGGATTAGGCCTGGGTATCCACAGAAAGTGCGGAGGCTTACAGGTTAAGTTGTAAGAGTTAGTTAATAAGAAGCCTGAGCTAATTGACCAAGCAGTGTTTTAATTAATATGGTTTCTGTTTGATTATTTCAGGTCTGGCTAGGAACAAACAAGCAGACTCTGACTACAATCTAAAAATTAATAAGAAAAGTATAGAGCATATTCATCTAAAAATGGACCTGAATTTGATTCCCAGTGCAACATCTTGGGTTACAACTATTCAAAGCTCCGGTTCTAGAGAATTTAATGCCCTCTTCTGACTTCGATGGGTGCTATGTACACATGTGGTGTACATTAATCCATGCAGGCAAAACTATTACATGTAAGAAATACTATGTAAAAATTACTAAGGAACCAAAGACAAAATAAATTATAAAAAGAGATACATAAATGTTCATGGAGAGGCATTTGAGCTGTTGTGTTTAGCATAGCTATTTTCTAGGTGTTCATAGAAAGTAGCAAGTTTTGTGTCATCAAAGAAATGCATACTGAAGCACAGTGCTATTTCTGGAGAGGTGCTAATAGGGCTACTAGGAGAAGAATACCCAAGGGTATTAGAGAACTTGTGAAGCATGTTGAGCTCAATACACTGACAACTGTGTGTATAGTGGTAGGAATATTTTGGAAAACTATTTGGTATCTTCTTCCAAAGATGTAATTAAACATTTCTTTCTGTGGACCATGTGAACAGAATGAAGTGTAATGAAAGAAAACCATCAATGAAATACATGCCTGCAGCAACACAGTACCAAATACAATCTTGTGCACATTAAAGGTACGTAGAAACAAAGTATTTTTCATGAGATAAGATGTTACAAAGCAGAATAAATACTAGGATAATGCTATATACAATATATAAATACA